TATTTTAACTACATTGCATTTGAGTATGGAGAGGCAACTATCTGGAAGTATTTTACATAAAAAATTTACTAAGTATTGCCCGGTTTGTAGTTGCAGTTAAAGAAAACACATGAAAAGGCACGATTTTTTTTAAATTCGAAAAAATGTAAATATTTCAAAAACGGTGACACTTTTACCTGAAAATTTTTTGTTTATCAGGGAGCTCACCCCCCCACCTACCTTCCCCTAAAGTTTGGCACGTTACTTCTGGGACACCCTGTATACATATATATTGATATTTATGTACATATGTACATATGTATATGCTACTACCTGTGTAGGCGCACGCTAATTATTATATTCTCAATTTCTCTTACAGCTACAACAAAATATGTAAATATAAACTCACTCTCGCATAACACGCGGAAAATTAACGGGACGACCACTGAATACAGGTACATGTGGAATGGAAACGCTAGTTTTTGCTGACACGGTGATTTGTGCTATTCACGCGCACTTTGCAAGATGACAATTAGGAAATTAGATTTTTCATAAGTACATATGTATGTATGAAACCTGAGAGATCTAGTACGAATTGAATATCAGACCTAATGCACACAATTCGAATAAAACTGCTTAACAGAAATTGGAGCCAGCAAAAAACACTAAAACTTAACAATAAGCTCATAAACATGGATTTAAAAAAATATACTTTGTGAGAAAATTAAATATTTTTACTAGTTTTTGAAAAAAAACCATTAGGGTGTAAAATAGAAACGAATACGCAATTCTTGAAAATTTTAATATATTTGTAGCGAGTTATAATAAAAATTTAATAAAGATTAAAATATAAACCTTATTCCACGTATGCATTTCTTTAGAAGTTATTTGACAATTTGGACGTATGAGGAAGTTTGTAAGTATCCAATGTTGTGTAAAATTATTGAATGTTTAATTTATTTAATCTTTTTAATAATAAAGCAAAGTGTTTAAGACTATATGAATTGAGCATTGAGGCGGCGATTCCGTAAAATTAAAGCGCGAAAAAAATTTACTTTAAATATTAAAAAAAAATAAATAAAAAAATAACCTAGATAGTAAATAAGCTTATATATAAACTTTTAACTCGATGTCATGAAAGACGAGAGTAGGGGCCGGGCCCCTCTTCCTCTGGGAAATTTGTTAGGCATATGTATAAAGCAAGTCCTGCAACCAGGCGCGCAAAAAGATCGCAAAGCCCGCATATTTAGATCGCCAACGATCGACTTTTCTTTCGTTCAGCTCACCACACCAGAAACTAATTTACCACATTAACTACATAAATACGTAAGTATGTATGTATGTATGTACACATATGTACGTATGTATGGATGCATTTATGCGCATATGTGGTATTATTAATGCATAGGGAACATCGTGAACGTAAAACACTATGCTGGAACGAATAAGAAAACGAAACAAGTATTTGTTTGTTCTCCTGGTAATTTGTTGACTATTCGAACAACTTTTGACAAAAATAAATAAATTGTGACCGCCCCTCTCAGAAGGCACATATTGAAAGTTATCCGGAGCGCATACGCATTTCGCGTGCATCATTTTAAACTCTCCAAATAACCCAAGCCAATCAACCAGGCGCGCATAAGTTACATGGAGGTCGCCTTCACCCTTTCTACATATTTTCTTGATCATAGTTTACTATATATTAACTTGGGCTGGCGTTACTACACTACTATATATGTAGTACGAATATAGGGAATATCATGGAAGCGAGACTCTTCTGGAGCAAGTCAGTAAATGGAACGAGTTTATTTTGGTGATCCTGCGAGCGGGTATGTGTACGGCTCTCGGTGAAGAGTTTGACGGACTGCCTCTTTAAGAGTGCATGCGTTCAATTCCTATTCTCCTGGTAATTAGACGACCCTACAAAATTGGTAAAAAAAAAATGTCGCGATATTGATAATGGCCACCACATATCCGAAACTATTAGGCGGGCATGAAAGTATTACTGGACCAGCGGAAGATTTTTCGATGATGACTTCGTGGCCGGTAATATTACGCCTCCAACTAATTTAACCAGGCACGCATAACTCATATGAAGGTCAACCTTGACCGGTTATTTTTATACCCGAGCGCACTTGTGCACAAGGGTATTATAACTTTGTTCACATAACGGTTGTTTGTAACAGGCAAAACGAATCGAGATAGATATAGACAAATGTATACATAAATGATCAGAATGAAAAGAGAAATCGATTAAGCGGTGACTGTCTGTCCGTCCGTCCGTCCGTCCGTCCGTCCGTCTGTGCACACGATAACTCGAGTAAAAATTGAGATATCTTAACGAAACTTGGTACGTGAACTTCTTTTGGGCGTAGGACGGATGGTATTGAAAATGGGCGAAATCGGACAATAACCACGCCTACCTCCCATATAACGGTAATTTTCAGAAATACGAAAACTGCGATATTTTAGTAACTACTGAAGATAATTCACTCAAAATTGACATTTAGAATAACTTTTAGACGAGAAATAAGAATATTAAAAATTTTTGAAAAATGGGCGTAGCCACGCCCACTTATAGTTACATGTGTATATTTTGGTAACCGCTGCACCAATTTCTTCCAAACTTGGCACAGTTGTTGACCCTGATACAGCATACCAAATGGCCAAAAATTTTTAAAATCGGTCAATAACCACGCCCACATCCCATATAACGGTAATTTAGAGAAATACGAAATCTTCGGTAAATAAGTAATTATTGAAGCTAATTTATTCAAAATTGATGCTTGCAACAATTCTTTACCAAGAAATACGTTTATGATAAAATTTTGAAAAATGGGCGTGGCACCGCCCACTTATGATCACATATATGTATATCGGTAACCGTTCTACAAATTTGTACCAAACTCGGTGTGGTTATTGTGCTTGCCACATAAAAGCGAACCGTTGAAAATTATTGAAATCGGACTAAAATTACGGCCGCTTTTCATATAACGGTAAATTTCAGAAATGCTTGAAATTTCAATATTTCGAAATTTAAGGATGCTAGTTTACTTAATATTTATACACCCGCTTATCATGTAGCGGTAGCTTTCGGAAAGGTCGAAAACATATATTTAATACTTGCGCCGGGTATTTAATGTTCGGCTCCGCCCGAACTTAGACTTTCTTACTTGTTTTCTTTGTATACATAGTTCAGTACATAATAATTATGTTAATAGGCATATAAAGAAACGTCATGGAACCGAAACTCTTATTGAAATGAGTTGGTAAATGGAACGAATATTTTTTGCTGATGCTGCAAAAATCCACTGCCACACTTTTGTTCCTGTTCTCCTGGTAATTGCTGACATTATTTTTATATAGAAATTTTTTCTTTCTTCCCCAGCGAGTTTTTAATTTGACTGCTTTATATACAAATTTAACATGCGCTCATTAAACTGAATATGGGGGTTCGGTCCAGCTATTTGTGGAGGCTTGCTATTTCGGTATGAGCACCTGGTAAAATGGCCTTCTATAATGAATTGGATAGCCTGCCAGCAGCATCTGTCCACACCTCCAATAAGCATATAAAAATGTATCAGGCGCTCATAAAAGTACGTATGGGCCGTGTTATATTTTGTATTAAGAAGGTTGCTTTTTTCTTATGGGCGCCTAGTAAAATAGCTGTCTGAGGTGAATTTGATTTCTGTTCCCCTAGTAATTGTTTTTGCTTTTTTTTGCCTTTTTTGTCTGGTTGCATGCTGGCAAATTCGAATCGATCTTGATTTTCAAAATTTACAAAATTGTGTGTTAAGATATTAGCCGCCCTTAGAACACATAGGAGATTGTTTCTCCTTATTTTTCTTTGCATCATAGAGGCAAACAGCACAGCACGAAAATAACTGCACTAACTTTATACATATGTACATTACTTAGTACGTAAGTATGTATATATATGGGATCATTAAGCAGCAGACTAAATAAAGGAGCGACAGAAGTAAATGTTACGAATGTTTGTTGTCATAACCTTGCGGCTGGAAATAAAAATAAAGAGGCGGACAAGTGTGTAGGTGTGGATGCTTTTCGAGTATTCATCTTATATTTCTGTTCACCTGGTAGCTCGCTAATAGATCCGGATAAGAACTTTTCTGATTACAAACTGAAAAAATCTTGGACATTGTAGGAGCCTATAAAAAAACCCGGTCCGGTATTACTTCTTTATTGTTGCCATGCTGTATATAATATCAGAAATAAAATTATCCTTTAACCTAGCTTGACTTACCTGATTATCTAATCCTTTGTCCTGGTGCGAATTTGAGCCTCGAATGACTACAAAATATTTATTAGACCCCTGTTTTGTAGGAAAATTTAAAAAACATTTGCAATTGGAATTCGCATGGACTCTCAAAAAGGATGAACACTTTTTATTCCACTGACCTATGAGTTGTAGCTGACCGCACGACCACAGTAAAACCGGTCAAACTTATCAACTCCCGATCCAAGCGACCCATAAAAATGTAAAAAGTGTTTCTAATTAGGGTGTGGAAAGTGTAAGTAAAACAGTTTTTCATACTTACATGCGTAACAATTTTATTAAAGTATTTTTTTCTTTTCTACATTAGTCAAGTAAGTTTAATCAAAATTTCAAATTGCCAAGATTTCCACTGTAATCGCTGTATTTAATAATAACAATTTTTGCTTTTCCATGATTTTTTAAACTCACTTCTTTCTAACTCATCGAGGTTAGGAAGAATTTAAAATGCGGTTTTTTGTTTGGAAAAACTATGTACGTTCAAATTAAATCTTTTCTTACTTTTATTAAATACAATTTTCCAATTTTTAAATTTAAATTCTAAATAAAAAAATATCCTAAAAATTACTCACTTTTCCATTTTTTATTTACCTCAATCACCTAATTTACTCACCTAAATTATTTCTTAAAAATATTTGACATCCGCATTCGCATCCGCGGATGTATTCCACATTCGCAACATCCCTAGTTTGGATACTTCAGATAACTGTGAGTCTGACTCACAATTCCTGTAGCAGTTCCCATTATTGATGTACATTAACATCAAGTATTTGTAGCAAACATTCAAGCCTCGTGTCTTCAATGGCGTTTTGAACCACAGACAGTTGAATAAATGGGCGGAAATCCAGCACGAAAGAAATTATTGCCATTGACCCGATTTATCACATTCTATAACAAAAAACAGCTGAAAATATATTAATGGTAACCAGTAATACTTCACTACGCTATTGGCCATTGGGATCCACAATTCTAAATTTTTAAATTATGTGGTGAAATTTAAAATAAACAACCAAAAACATGACTAAACAAAGTTTGGTTAAAATTGTATTTAAAACAAAGTAGGTTGGGTTGCATATAAAATCGCGTAATTTTACTACAAGCAAAACTATTTTTAAAGGAATTAATTAAACATATTTATGGCCCAAATTGGCTCTTAGAAAATTAAAAATTTGTATGTATACTACTCTGGTGCTATAGTTGGTGGCGTGGGTCTTCTTGTTGGTGGAGTGGGTCTTCTAGTTGGGCGCGTTGGTCTTCTAGTTGGGCGCGTGGGTCTCCTAGTGGGGGGCGTAGGTCTCCTAGTTGGGCGCGTAGGTCTCCTAGTTGGTGGCGTTGGTCTCCTAGTTGGGCGCGTTGGTCTCCTAGTGGGGGGCGTAGGTCTCCTAGTTGGGCGCGTGGGTCTCCTAGTGGGGGGCGTAGGTCTCCTAGTTGGGCGCGTTGGTCTCCTAGTTGGTGGCGTTGGTCTCCTAGTTGGGCGCGTTGGTCTCCTAGTGGGGGGCGTAGGTCTCGTAGTTTCCGGTGTTGGGTCAACAGGAACTTCTGGCTCATCGGTCTGCGCTTGAGTCATAGCTATAGTGATTAAAAGCACAGCTCCAAAAACTGGAATTCAAAAAGTTAGTAGGACAATCATAAATGTACAACGATTTAAGAACTCACGGAGCACGAAGAAATTTCTGGGCCACATGTTTCGATGCTTTGATGATTTGGTGTTGGAGAACGGAGCACAACTGATGGTCTTACAACAGAGCAGATGCACTTTTATAGGTGAATCGACATCAGGAAATAAGTAATCTTCAGATAACACTTGCAAGTCTTTTTACCATTGTCTAAATTGGTGACAATACATTTAGGTGAAAAGACTGTCCGCGTTTATTCATTGCTTAATTTTCGACAATACTACAAAGCGAGTCATAAAAATGGTAAACAAATCGATTTTGAACCCTTTAGAATCCCAGTTTCATTAAATTGTGTTCTTTTATTTTCAGTTAAACTATATGTACGTTAGACTGGGTCGAAAAAAAAAGTTGCTAATGTCCGCCCCTAAATTTAAAGATTATGTTGAGAGGGTTCTGGAAAATTTTTTTTTTTTTTTTTTTAACCCTCCGAAATACAGCCGAAATGGTTTTTTCGTTGTAACTTGGTTATTTGACGGCCGATTTTTAAAATTGATATGTCATTATTTTTGTCTTGAGAAGCTTCACTTTTCGTTCTTATGTCTTTTTAAGCTTTGAAGTCGCGTTCGCATGATAAGGGCAGAAACAAAATTTTACCCCCCCTAAAGTATATTTTTTTCCTTACCAAACGAAAGTACTTAAAAATTCAAGAAAATGTTGCCTTCAAACTATATTACTAAAATAATAAACAAAGGAGTTATAGCACTTTTAATATCACAGGTCAACATGAGTTTCAGATGTAAGTATAATAACACAGTACAACAAAAATTGATTTTTTTTATGCAACAGAGTAAC